ATCTCATACTATTAAGCTAGGCAGAAGTGAGTAGTCTTTGTCGATAGATCTCTATTTTAGTATTTTGTCGAAAGCGCTTTTTTCACGAATTTATATATAACGAATTTATTTGACGATTTTTGATTTATATCACGAATTTTACTATAGCACATTTCTAGTAGGTTTAACGAATTACATGTCATTTATTTGAATTCGATTTGAATTGTCATTTATTTGTCGATTGAGATAATTCTTTGGTAAGAGAGAAAGCTTTTATACAAAATAATTTCTAGACTTAATTTAACTCTATTCAAGTTAACAACTTAAAAATAGATCATAAGCTAAATTCTAAAATATCGCAGTTGGTTTAGAATTTTGTAAAAACCTTCCCTTGCGAAAATTTAAGGTACATTTGAGGTTGATTCGAGGTATTTTTGAGGTATCGAGGCTGTTTTGAGGTATATATGAGGTATATTTGAGGTTGCAGAGAAAACAACCATAAATTTACACCTCATAAAGGTTGTTATTGAGGTGTACGAGGTTATTTTACATACACTTCAGCACATTTTGAGGTTGCTTAAAATTCACTTCAAATCAACCAGGCTGATGGGATGGTTTTCAAGATATGCAGGTTGTTTTTCTGACACTTATAACAAAAAAAGTATTTATGAGGTATAAAAAAATTCCCCTCATTTCAACTAAAGAGGGTGAGGTATTTATTGAGTTGCATGGAGTCATTTTATTTATACCTAACCTCATTTTGAGGTTATTATAAATTCACTTCATATCAACCAGACTGATAAGGTGATTTCTGAGGTATACCAGGTATTTTTAATGACAGTTGTAACAAAAGAGGTATTTATGAGGTATAAAAATTTCTCCTTATTTCAACTAAAGAGAGTCAGGTATTCATTGAGGTGTATGAAGTCACACATATTTTATTTATACCTATGCTTATTGTAGGGTTGTTTAAAGTTGACTTCATAGCATCTAGATTGAGGAAGTGATTTTTAAGGTATACAGGTTGATTTTCTGACACTTATAACAAAAAAGGTATTTTTGAGGTATAAAGACATTTATCTTATTTCAACTAAAGAGAGTCAGGTATTCAGTGAGGCGTATGAAGTCACAAACATTTTATTTATACCTAAGCTTATTTTGAGGTTGTTTAAAGTACACTTCATATTAACTAGCTAACTTCCCAAAGCTCCGTGCAAGCCGGCGAATGGCGTGTGTGTTGACAATCGAAAGTCTGTGCGAAATTCGGTAAGTGTGTTTGACATTTATTAATTCAGTTTTCAAGTTTAAATTTTATTATTTTTGTTTTAAAGACGCATCTTGATCTTAAATAATTAAAGTCGGAGGATATTCTTCGAGGCTATTGTTGTATGCTTAGCAATAAGAGCGAAAAATCTGAATATTTCTTGTCGCTGTTTAAAGTAATGCTACAAGTGAATCGTTAAATCAGGTTACGCACGGTATACTTTATTGCTTGCTATTTATTCAAATATAACTATTTTTTTATTTTGCTTAAATGTATATGTTTTAACGTATCGGTATGTAAGCCGATTAATTGAATTAAATGTTCATAATTTCTCTTATAAATAAATCATTGAAAATTGAAAGATTTTAAAAAAACAATTTTGCTTTGAAATTCTACTACAACTGTATGATGATCATTTGCCTGGATATCTGTATGTATATGCAAAGTTTATATTGTTTATGAGTGAAAATATGTATAATAACACTGCATTTTAAATCTGACTAACATGAGATTTTGTTTTGCAATATATATATATATATGTTACCGTTAAAGTGTAAAATACCGGCCGGTTGCTACAGCTCAAAGTTTGGGTACTGGTCAGAGATTTAAAAAATGTTGTGTAAAACCTAGTGTGTCAACAAAAAATGTTTTTGTTTTAGAAATAATGTTCTTTGTAATTCCAAGTTTTATTTTAGTAATCATTGTTGTAACAAATGAATTTATGGTACGTTTCTATAAATAATATTTATACGCTGCATAAATTAGATAAATTGCTTCTTTTATTATTTAATTGTCTGTCATTAGTTTATTTATAGAATACCTAGTTATTTCATTTCAGATAAATTGTTTATTTTACACTTTAACTGTCTCTCATTAGTTAATTTATAGAATACCTAGTTATTTCATAGAATAACTAGTTAAAGTGTCAAATTAATAACATATTACACACTTTAACGGACACGATCAGTTATTTCATGGAATAACTAGGTATTCTATGAAANTATGTGGTATACTCGTATAAATTTTATATTTCTTAAATATATTACATTTATACCAACTCTTTTTCTTTCTTTTTTTATACTCTTCGTTTTAACCGAGTTTTTCAGTTATCCGAGTTAGTCGTGGTCCACATTAACTCGGATAATCGGGACTCTACTGTATATATATATATTTACAGAGCTTATCCACAATAGTTCCCTGTTATTGCTGAGATGACCTAGGCTGTAAATAGCACATGTGCAGCAACGAGGAACAAGTGGCTAGCTAGCTACTCATCTCACATAATTAACTACTGAATTTATGTAATTGTTAATAGCAATGCTTTGCCTGATATTTGATGATTTAAAACTAGTAACTGTATTAGCTCACTTTTCATGTTTGATCACACAACTGTCATTTTTTCACTTAATATTTTTTTGCAATTTACTTATGTTAATTATTTACTAAGCAGATTATCATTACTTATTAGAATATTAAACAGAATTAAATGAAACCCGATTTCAAGTTTATATGACAATTGGTTTCAAGGTTATGAGCATTTTATGCAGCTGCTTATGGTTCGCTACTTAAAAAATTAACGAATTTCAGAAATCTTAAATATTTTAGAAATCAGTCAGAATTGTTTCTTGTGTAATTTTAATGCTGAATCGAATAAAAACCAATAGCAAATAAAAGCACTTATTGTTTGAAAGTTATATACAATTTTTTTTTTAATTTCATTCTATGAGATATGTTTTTATATTTAAACAAATGGTTGTAGCAACTAACAATTAGTTTTATTCTGCTCAGTGTTATAAGTTACATAGGAAATATTTTACTAAGCTTCCTTTAAAAGCATTATTTTATACCATTCTCTCTTAGACATTTTCGTCTCTTAAAATTGATCACAAATTTAAAACAAATGCTCCTATTAACTTGAGGTTAGTTTTATTCGATTGAGTGTAAAAAATGCATAAAAATTGGTACATAACATTAAAATTTTATGTTATTAAACGATTGTTGATTCTTGATTACATTAATTAAAATATTAAAATAACTATTTTTTAAGATACTCTGATGTGATTGACAATAATGGAAGTCCTTTTCAGAATCAGCGTCAAAAGTTTATTAACAATCTATGAGTTTCATAAAGTCTGACAAAAAGTTCAAAAATATTGACTAGTCTCATTGAGTATAAAGATAAGAAAGAAAATCTAATTATCAAACTTACAAGTACCATAATGAGCGATGTAGGATCAATTATGGGAAAATAAAAAGTGTTGAAATTTCCAAATAAGATTGGAATTATATATTTAAAAGTAAAGGTTGTTAATTGTAGGAATTTCTTCAGTGTATCTTATTTTGTGACTATGGTACGTGTTACATTTTTAAACGCTTTTAGCTACGAGGATTGATTAAAATGATAGAAGTAGAATGCAATTTATCTGAAGAAAAAAATTAATTTCATCCAGTTAATTTAAATCCTGAAGAAACAATTTCTAATATTTTAATATTTTAAAACCTGCAACTATTATTGTAAATATGACTTTATTACTAATTCATATTGTTTTCTTTTAGATTTCAATACTTCCAAGTTTCAACAGGGAGACAGAATTAATATTTAAAATAATTTTGTTGGTTTGTAAAAAAAATTAATTTTAGTTTCAAATAAAAGTATTTTGAATTTCAGCCAAATAATTATTTAAATATGCAGTTTCATAGCTTTAAAAATTCAAGCACCTGCGACATCTATCTTATAAGAAAGTAACTTCCCACAAATTATTTTTTTTTAACTGTAGAACTGGGATAAGTGTCATTTCAAGATTATTTAATTCAATCTATTAAAATTGCGGGATAATTATGTATTTGAAACTTTCTTTTATAGTTCAACAAAAGAAGCAATTACTGCCGAAGATGTAATCTTAAAAACTTCAGGTTAATAAATGAAGATCTTTACTAGTGAAAAAGTGTAAAAATATGCATTATTTTTTATATAATATCTATAATATCTTTGTATAAGGTTAAGTGTGGTTAAAAATTAATAAACTAGGTGGACCGCATAACACCTCACGTTTGTGAATTATTACCTTCGTAAGTATTAAAAAAAACTTTAGATTGAGCTATATTAGCCTGAAGTGAAAAATGTCGCATCTTAGGTTGGTAAATTAATGCTTCTAAAAATACATAAATATGTACTTGAGGTTACGAAATAATAACTTAAGGTAGAACATGGAGCACCTCACGTTAGTAAAAAATAACCTTTCCAAGTGTCAAAAAGTACACCTGAAGTACATTTATAATAACCTGAAGTGTTAAATGAAACACCTTAGGTTGTTGAATAAATACTTCCACAAGTGTAAAAAATATATACTTCAGGTTGATAAGTAATAACCTAAGGTTGAAAACGAAACACCTTAAAGTAGCAAATGTCTACCTCTCCACAGATATAAAAGGAAACACCTTAGGTTGATACATATATACCTCTAGAGGTGCATTTAAGGTATATTTGAGGTTAATTTTGACGTATTCATTTGTACTCTTTTCAACCTAACGACGCATTTAAATAACAACCTCCTTTGTACCTTTAAAAATACCTCATTTATGCCTCAAAAATACCTCGATCTTTCCGTGTGGGTTAGCATAGAAGACTTGTAAAATAATATCAAATAGCAAACCATGCATACTTGTTTTCTAATTTTTATGTTTTACAGCAAACATAACATCATAAATCAAAATCTTTGTTGTAATAGTAAAGAAAGAACTATCTAATAAACTAAACTAATAATAATTACTTTTATTTCATTTGAATTATAAGCTTTAAAAATAACATGTTTAAAAATAAATTAAGTTATATACGAACAAACAAATCAGAAAGCATATATTTAAACCATATGACATTTATCAAAATTTAAATTTAAAACAATCGATGTAATACAAAACACTATTAGAAAAAAAAATATGTCAAGCTAATTGATTTACAAGAAAATTTCAAATATCCTACTCAATTACTTGCACCAACAAATAAATCTAAAATAACCGTTAAATGTTTTTTTGTTCTTCTTGTTATTCAATTAAGTCTGTATGCTTAGCATTTTTTTTTTCATTATTCTGAATCTTCTGCTTCGTTCTTGGCGTCCCCTTTATCAGATTCTTCTTCTTCTTCAGGAGGAGCTAATTGCATTTTAATTCCTTTAGAAAGTATGAGGTCTGAAGCTCTGCTCCAAAGGTCTTTGATGTTATTCTCGGTCCACTCGCAGCTTCTGACGTTGCAGTTGCGACAGTCCTTAAAGAGTGATCCGGATTCTTTCAGGACATCCTTCGATCCCAAGCAATAAAGAATCGTTTGCATGCCTTCTTCGGTTGTTCTGTAGAGAGTTTTGGCGCAGGTTTGGTTCAGTTTTCCCATTGGGCCCTCTAAATGCTTGTAAAGTCCAGTGTTAACATAACCTAAGAGGAAAAAAATGTAAGAAATTTATCAGACAGTAAAAAATCACTAAAGAAATATAACAACATAATTTTAATACTTATTAACTCTTTAACAAAGAAATTTTATAAAACATATTTTTCATACTTTTTCAGTATTTTGTATTAATTAAGGTCAAAATAAGACAAAAAATATCATGTTTAGCATTTTAATAGTTCATGGTTATGAAATATAGCATGAAACGCCGCTGTCTTTTTCTACGTTAAAGGTAAAATCTACCAAACTTGGCTCACTTCCAAAAAATACATTTCTTTTTCAAATTTGCACTTATTTGCAGTCAAAGAGAACATAACATCAAAGAGAAACAGTTTTTCTTCATTGAAATTTCTTTAGTTTACAAAATCAAATATTATAAGTTATTGAATATAAATAGAAAAAAAAATTTCAAACTACTTTTAAGGATTTTATATTTTAGTGTAAATATAATTCCGAGATTTAACAGAATTTTTTCGTAAGTATTATACTGTTTTTTATTCATTAAAATACACCAAAATGCATTTTTGATTTTTAATTAGAATGTTAGATGAAATATACATATAAAAGGGACACCGTTGTCCCATCTGAGTCAAAGGATTAAATATGAAATTATTATAACCAGTAACATAATTACAAATTTTCAAAATGTAATAACCTCCGCCATAATCACCATTTTACCAGAGCTGCAAACGCTTCACAATATTTTCTTCCATAAGCCACATTTTATATACTGATATTTTGTCTCATTCCTTACTCAAGGATATTTTTTAAAGTGTCCTAAACACTTATAAGATTTAACACAAAACATTGTTTTCAAGATAGATAAAACTAAAATAATACATTAAACTCAAGTCTGACTGTTAAAATGATCCTTCCTGTGCTGTAAGTTCAGGAAAATATACATTAAACAATTAATGAATGTCATAACAGAGACGAAAGCATAACAGAGACAGAAAGCATAACAGAGACGAAAGTGAGTTTGTGATATATTGCATTAAAAATATTTGGTTCGAAACTGTAACCAAATTATTTCGTGCAAGCCTTTCGTGCCACAATTATCTCATTATCATAGAAAGAGGTTTAAGAGGCGCAATAATAGTGTTTAACAACCAAACTTATAGCGAGAAATAGGAAGTAAACGCAGTGATTTCTGCACAAAGCTGAAACGAATTTCAATCAGAATTAGGGTACTCAGTGCAATTAATACAAGACATTTTACACAGTGGGACTAACTTCTTAAAGAACTTAGATTTAGAGTTTTGAGTTAATTAAAGACCAGAAATTGTAGAAAATCATTAACTTAAATTTTGATATAATTGAAAAACTGAAAATCGCAAATGAATGGAATACTCTTCCTCTATAGAAGAAATTATATTCTTCTTTATGAGGTTATATTCTAGTGAGATATTGCTCAACTGTCATTTCACTACAGCATAGCTCGAAATTTAGACAGAAAAAGCAAAGGAAAGAGACTTCGTACTCTTGTGCATGTTAGTGAGAAAGATTATAACAATTAAGGAAAGGAGCAATTAATTATTAAGAATAGAAAGTCACAACATACGTCGAAGATGAATAAATCCAAATAATACGCAAATAGCCGACAACCTTACAGCAAACGATGCATTTTCATTTTTATTTGGTTGACATAGAAAGGTTAACTTAAATACCTTTTCTAAACTTAGTATAAATATTAGTGTGCAAAACTTGTTTCCTTAAAGAGTGAATAAAAGCATTCAGGCACCTTTATTAAAAAAAATCTCATATTTTAGCTCTTATTTACGAATACTATAAACCTTGTATTTGCATTTTTTCATTCTACTTCATCCAGGCTCTTCAATGCAATCATTGGATGCAAATTGGATGGAAAATAAATCTTGAGAAAATGAATTTACCCTCGGTTTGAGAACGCTTTTTACTCTTGATTTGCAAATGATGATTCATTCTCGATTTCAGAGGATTTTTCCAGCTTTGTTTTGTAAAGGCGGATTTAATCCCGATAATAGGGTTGGTTATGGAATCTTAATGCGAATCCCACAGCTCGTAAACTAAAGTAAAATTAAATTTAACATTATTTCAAACCAGCGTGGTTTATTTGATAATCATTTATAAAACTTGTTGGGCTTTATAATAAAAGTTGGTGATGACATTGAAATCAACATTACACTACCATCTGGGATATAACCTTACACTAGTTTTTATTTGCATCAGATCAAAATATTGCGGCCAAAAAGCCCTTTTGGATTCTCGCTGGACAATCTTGCAGGTATCAACAATAATAAAATATAGTAGAAACAAAACTTTTGGGTAATAAGAATAAGGGAACACAAGTGATATAATACAGTATAGCATTGTAAAGAAAAACTTATGATGATTACAAAGCAGTAAAATTGACTGTTTAGTTTGAAAGCTGCAATTACATTATTACTTTTAATATTTTATTTCATTTTATTTTTTTACCGTCGTTGAACAGCAGACCCAATTTTTGGGGTTTACAGCTACTAACTCCGTAGCCTTGTAATTTTGAGCCCAATGCAGAAAACAAGGGAGCTTCTGAAACAAGTATAAGGAGAAATTTGCCTTCGTGGACGTCTTTTCGATGGAACTACTCTGCATTTGCGTTACATGGTGAGGAAAACCATAAGAACCACCGACTGTTAGCCTGACGGCAAGGGGACTCTAACCCATGATCCGTCTACCACTAAAGATATTTTACGTCAGCACTGTAGTCAGTGCAAGCTGGATGCGGAATTCGTATCGATAAGCCATAGCTGGGATTCGAACCCGGTTCACCTCATGGGAAGGCAAACGCTCTATCCCCTGAGCCATCATGGCTCTTATATTTTATTTGATGCAAGTACACTCAAACACAAAATAATAAAGCATAATCTAATGAAGCCTTATCTATTAATCTTCCCAGATTTATTTTAATTCGCTAAAAAAATTTCAAAAGAGTATATACCAGGGTCGACAGAATATGAAACTACTCCTTCATCAACATATTTGTGAGCCAATTCTTTAGTCATGAGGTGAAGAGCAAGTTTGCTGCATCGGTAAACGTTTCTCATGTTGTAGCTGGACATCTTGCCTTCTAGTTCGTCCATATTCACAATGTGGCCGGAACGGAAACTACCACATACAATGTTTATGATGCGTCCTGGACTACTGGACGTGCCATGCTGGAGCATTTTTTCGCACAGTAGATTAGTGAGCAGGAAGTGACCAAGGTAGTTGACACCTAGCATCATATCTAAATCATCAGAAGTCTTGTCTTGAGGACACAGTGTAGCTGTAACATAAAAAATGCATAAATATGTTGAATGAAGAAAAAGTAACGCAGAAAAAAAATCAAATCTAACACAATAATTAAAATCAAAATTTGCAAATACGCAGTTAGTATACATTGCATTACAATTACAAGTAACAAGTCCTTCTGCTTTCTGTAATCGTAATCATAAGTTTACAATTATAATTGCATTTAACTTGTTACATCTATAGTAACAAGTAATAATGAAGTACTATTACAAGCACCAATGATCAAGTGTTTAAAATGATTATGAATACAGCTATAATATTGAGTGCGTGAGACAAAAAATTTGAACTTGAAATTTGAAAAATTGAAACTTTTGATTCTAAGAAATAAAAGGATGCAGAATTATCAATTTAACTCTTGGTATGCTCTGCCTTTCATAAATTTTTTGAAAAAAAATAAATATTTAATAATACTTTATTCAAATTTGAGAATAATAATTCATTTGAAATTATGATGTGATTTTTAGAAGGAAAAAAAAGTTCCTTTATGGAGGCACTAGGCATGAACGGATATAAAGTTTTTGAATTTTTCAATATTAAAATCGACTTTTACTATGGACCAATGATTCATACAATTTACTAACATGAAAAAATAAAATTTTGATAGCGGAATGTTTAACCTCTTAACGATTGGTTAATTTTCAAGAAAACGGTCATAAAAGTGCCTGTTTTATTCTTCTATCACAAATACACGTATTTGATTAGTGCTGACATCTAGTTTAAAATAAACTAATTATCTACAATTACCTTAAAAATATCCTGGTACTGCCATCTGTGTAAAATGAGAAATATGTGTAAAATGAGAAATAAAATGTTTTCCAGCAAAAGAAAAGAATTAGTTTTATTCTTATTGGCGCGTTACTACTGAACACTCCAGCGCGGAAATATCACGGGAGCAAGAAATAGAGGGCGAAACCTCACCCCATCATTTTCACGAGAGCGAGAAGGAAGGGGTTAATAGAGTAATGCATACGAGTTTATACGTGTATATCTTAATTTTTACATTAGGTATATATTTATTTATGTGATTATTTTAATATCACAAATAAGGAAACTGTAACCTTTTATAGTGTTTTTCATGTATCCTTCAGCACTTATTTAAAACCGAAAATCTTGCAAATCTACTGTAAAAACACACTTACCCGCATTGTTGACCACAGCATCTATTTTTTCTTCTGTTTCCACCAACTCTTGACAGAAGTCATAGACCGAGTCAAGACTTGTAAGATCCATAAACATGGTTCGAACATTGAAGGATCCTGTTTTACTACGCAAGAAGAACGCTGTCGAATCTCTTCTGGCTTTTGTCCTACAGGCAACAATAACCCTAGCACCTCTTCGGGCAAGCTCAACTGACAGGGTTCGTCCCAATCCGCTACTGCCTCCTACAACAACAAAAAGAATCGATTAAAACTTAAGCCTAAAGAAAAGTAATAGAAAAACCAAAAAAAATACTTTAAAGTTATCAATAGTTTGGTAAATTCGGTTGGATGTATGGAGAGTTTACGTGGTAAAGTTATGCAGCATTCCTACCAAGGCAATTGAAAGACGCAACTCTAAGAGTGGAGTTGGTGCTTGGTTATGATTGGATAATTATGATGGTTCAAACCGTTCCAAGTGTTTCACGTTCCATAGTGTACGTTCTCAGAGTGCTAGCACAAAATTAAGTAACATAAAAAAAAATTTACAAATTATAACGGAGATATAATTTGGGACGAATTAAGTGTTTATTTCAAACTTATTTTCAAAGAGGAATTTAAAAAATCGCCGAGAAATCCTGTTACTAAAATGTATAACAAGTTGTGCAACTTATTATGAAATCGGACAGCTTGAAAACCTTATAACTTTAAAAAATATACAAATATATAAAAAAATTTAATTATGTAGATTCAAAAGCAAAAAGAATTAAATTTGAAGACCAAGAAAGAAAAACGATATATGGCCATGAAAGCTGATTCTCTGAAAAAAACGAATCTAAAGGCTTGAGATTTTTCAGGAGCTAGCATACGATTGAAATCATGAAAATAGAATATAGATGATTATCTCAAATACTTACTTACTTCTCCAAAAAATGTCACAAAATTTACAATTTTTGATGTTGCAAAAAATAAAATTCGAAAATCGGGCTGGACAAGAGCCATTTTTCTTCGAAATTCTTCTCTAATCAATATTTCCTCAGTAAAACTCCCGTCGTCTTCTTAAATATTTTTTTTTTGTTCGCCTTGTTTACGCATGAACAGAAACCATTTTCCTCATCATTACGCATGAACAGAAACCGTGACCCATCTTCAAAATGTAATAACTCTAGGGGAGGACAAATTTTTCACGTTATTGATATGACATGCCTAAACTTAGTATTCCTCAAAATGCAACAGATGGTTATCCAATCTCCATTTTTAGCAAAAATGGACGAAAACCGTTCTCCCTTATCTTCTTGGTCTTCATATATCCCAGATATTTTAATTAGAACCAATAGACATCTTGTGCGAAATCAGTTTATGTTGTAGAATTGATTAAAGTATTAATATAATGCTTCACTTAATTTTGCTCCGTGGACAACTATGATTCTTTATACTGGAAAAAATCAACAATTCTCTCTCCTTCTCTTTTTACATATTTCTAAGGCAAATACAATTTCAAAGTTCAAGTAATCACGGATAACGATTTCATTCTAGATTATTCATAAAATGATGCTTATCAATGACACTTTTCACTGCAGTAACTGCCATTTAAAACGGAAAAGATTTGAAATAATAAGTTTAATGCTAAACGATGACGATTAAGGCTGTTGAGAAATTTTCTCCAGAAAATTTTTAAAAATAATCGATAAAATTCTGAATGTTTCATGTTTTATTAATTTAGTTCGTGCTTAGATCGTGAAATTACTCTACTAAATTGATTCAAATAACTCAACTTTAACAAAATAGTCTTTCAAGGCTTAAAAGAAAACATGACATTATTGTTTTTAAATTCAATTTCCAAACTGAACAATAAAAACATTGAGTAGCATTCTATTATTTGCCAAATATTTTCGTAAGATATAAAATACAAATATTTTTCTTATTATTATTATTTTTCCTCTCAAATATAACCATATCGTAACTTGTATTATAAGATACTGCAATACATTTTGTCACATATTTATAAACTATAGTTTTGAAACATTCCATTACACAAAACAAATGTAAATTAATATTTAAGTGAGAAAATTATAAAGAAAAAACCAAACTTTGACCAATCATAATAAATGTAAAGCAGAGAGGAGATTAAAATTAAGAAGAGAAAGAAAAAAAAACAGTTTGCCTTGCTGTGCTAGGTTTCCAACAGGCTCTTAAGTTGTATACTTAAGTAAATTGGTTATCGATTATTTTCGTCCCTCCTTTGCTTTAAATGTCCTGAAGAGCGATTGCCCCGATTTCGAAAAAGTATTTTTTTTTTTCAAAAAAACAGTTAATGTATATTGACTTTTCAGTTCATTTTTTACAATAATTCTATATGTATAAAATAAAGGTGATATTGCGAAACAATAAGCATACTTTAAAATAGTTCCAGAATGAGTCCTCAAACAGCATTAAAGTATACCAGCAGAAAAATAATAAAAAGCAGCGTTTCCATTACTCCATTTTTTTATTTACTCCATATTTTCCCATTATTGATCATAACTGTAATATGGTGAGCTCGCATGTATGATGAGTTCCCATGTTTGAAATATTACATGTTTGTAATTGGTTCTGCATTCTTTTTTTAATCTAAATTTCTCTTTTATCATCCTACTTTCTCTTATGTTTAAAAAACACTCATAAAAAAATAAACTTTTTTAATGGTGAGATGGTGTTTCTTTTTTCTTATTTTTTTCTTATCACTTCATTTTCTCTGATGTTTTGAATCCTCATAAATTAATTTTTAAAGAAAAATAATGAGATAATACAGACTTATCTAACTACCTTTATTTTTCTCTTATCACTCTGCTTTCCCCTATGTTTTAAAATTCAATAATAATTAATGCATTTTTAATAGTGAGCTTTTGCGTGCTTTTTTTACCCCATTTTCTTTCCTATCATTTTACTTTGTTCTATGTTTTGAATACTTATAAATTAATTTTAAAAAATTCATGCGTAATTATGCATTTTTACCATTTCTTCATTTTATCTCTTATCACTCTACTTTCTAGTATGTTTTAAATACTCATAAATAGTTATACTTTTTAATAGTTAGATAACGCATGCTTCCTTTTATCCTATTTCCTTTTTATCACTTGACTTTCTCCTATGTTTCAATATTCGTAAATTTTTTTAAAAAATTATAGCGAGATAATGCACGCTTCTAACTACCTCGTTTTCTCTCTTATCACTCTGCTTTCTCCTATGTTTTGAAGACTTATAAATTAATAAATGTTTTAATAGTGATATGATGCACGTTTTCTTTTATCTCATTTTCTTTATTATCTCTTCACTTTCTCCCATGCTTTGAATGCTTATAAATTAATAACAAAAAGTAATAAGAAATTCATGCCTCCAACTACCTCGTTTCCTATCTCATCACTCTACTTTCTTTTATGTTTGAAGTGCTCATAAATTAATAAACTTTTTAATAGTGAGATAGTGCATATTTCCTTTAATCCCATTTCTTTCTTATCACTTCACCTTCTCCTATGTTTTGAAATTGATAAATAGTTTAAAAAAAGTTATAGCAAGAGAACGCATGCTTCTAACTACCTCATTTACTCTCTTATCATTATACTTTCTCCTATGTTTTGAACACTCATAAATTAATAAACTTTTTAAAAATGAGATGATTCGCACTTTCTTTTACCCCATTTCATTTCTTGTCGCTTCACTTTCTCCCATGTTTTGAATGCTTTTAAATTAATGAAAAAGTAATGAAGTAATGCGTGATATATTTTACAATCATTTTTCGTCTCATCACTCTACCTTCTCCAATGTTTTAAACACTCATAAATTAATAAACTTTTTAAAAGTGAGACTATTCACACTTTCTTTTACCACATTTTCTTTCTTGTCGCTTCACTTTCTCCCATGTTTTGAATGCTTTTAAATTAATAAAAAAGTAATGAAGTAATGCGTGATATATTTTACATTCATTTTCTGTCTCATCACTCTACTTTCTAATATGTTTTAAACACTCACAAGTTAATAAACTTCTTAATAGTGAGATAGTACATGCTTATAATAACACTCATAAATTAATAAACTTTTCAAAAGTGAGATGACTCGCACTTTTTTTTACCCCATTTTATTTCTTGTCGCTTCACTTTCTCCCATGTCTTGAATGCTTTTAAATTAATAAAAAAGTAATGAAGTAATGCGTCATATATTTTACATTCATTTTTCGTCTCATCACTCTACTTTCTCCTATGTTTTAAACACTCATAAATTAATAAACTTTTTATTAGTGAGATAGTACATGCTTATAATAATACTCATAAATTAATAAACTTTTTAAAAGTGAGATGACTCGCACTTTCTTTTACTCCATTTTATTTCTTGACGCTTCACTTTCTCCCATGTTTTGAATGCTTTTAAATTAATAAAAAAGTAATGAAGTAGTGCGTGATATATTTTACATTCATTTTCTGTCTCATCACTCTACTTTCTAATATGTTTTAAATACTCACAAGTTAATAAACTTCTTAATAGTGAGATAGTATTTACATGCTTCCTTTAATCCCATTTCTTTTTTATCACTTCACTTTCTCCTATGTTTTGAAATTCATAAATTTTAAAAAAAAATTGTAGCATGCTTCTAACTGTCTCAATTTCTCTCTTATCACTCTACTTTCTCCTATATTTTGAATACTCAAAAAATAATAAACTTTTTAATATAGAGATAATGCACGTTTTCTTTTACCCCATTTTCTTTCTTATCGCTTCATTTTCTTCTATGTTTTGAATGCTTATAAATTAATTTTAAAAAAATAATAAGGTAATCCATGCTTCCAACTACCTTTATAGTATCTGCTTTATTAACATATAATTTAAATTCGGAAGATTTTTTCGCAAGTATATAAGGAGCATATAAATTTATAAAAAGAAGTAAAACATACATTTATCTTATTTTTAACGAATCTATTTTATTTTCAAAAGTTTCAAATGTCAAATATTCGCACAAATTTATTAACTTATATTTATAAACTATATTTTACATTTCATTAAATCTTTATGAAATTTAACTCAGTAATTTTCAATCCAGATATTATTTTCCTTTTACAACAAATGATTTTGCTCTTAAATCAAATTACAAACAAAAACATTATATTTTACAATATTCTTACAATGTTAAGGAAGTTTCTAATTTCATCATCATTTTAAAATTTTTTAAAAAAAATATTGTAATATTGTTATTCATTGGATCATATGGCCAGTACCTGAATATTTTAGTACTTACTTTATTAAATCTCTGCATGTAATAACCACAATAATAGGGAGCCACAAAACAGCTGGTTTGTGAGGGAGAGTCAAATATTTAGAACAATTCTGCCAACTGCAATAGGATGGTGTGCAGCAGCGAAGAGATAAGTTCGTGTGGGGGATTCAACTCTTAAATATAATACAAAACTTATGATTTAAGTACAAACGTATAACTATACCAATTTTCAAATTTATACTGTATGAATATAATATAAAAATAACAAAAGCGAAATATAGGCTTGAAGTTTAAGCACAATAATCAGCATAAAAATAATTTAAAATTTTAGAAGAAGAAAAAAATATCAATATGAATGAATGAAAAAGGACAAATTTGAAACTAATGTGGTAAGATTTATATTTCATTGTATTTGGGATAAAATTAATTTTATTTTAATTGCTTTGGTAATTTATACGTTTATATTTGATCTCATCATATGATTATCATTCGAAAATTAACCAAAACATCATTTCCTATTTTCTACCACTTGAATATTTTTTCTCGCATTTTAATTACAAAATTTAAAATTGAAAGCATTTATTAAATAAACGTAAATATCTGCATGAAAAAGGTAACAAAATTACTAAACAATGTGTGATTGATTGGAAGGAACGTCCTTTTAAAATTGATCCAGAAGATCAATCTTCATGAGAAGAAGAAGAAAAAAGCGCGAGAAAATTGCTGTTCATAACCAACTGAAAGACGCAGCGTGATCACATTGGTGAAAGAACGAACTGAGGAAGGTTCTATTTTGGGGGCGTCTTTTTGACGCATGACAAACGTTAACGGCATCGTGGATATGAAACAGGAACCCGGATTTTTCCCACTCAATAAACAAACTTAAATATTCCCCGATCTCTACAAGTTCTATTCTGGTAACAGAAAAATGAATAAAAACTCGCCAAGCAGCGTTCATAACGGTGAAAAACGGTTTACTTTCCACTAATGATATTTCGAATTTTCTGCATATTTCTGCAACTACTATTAAACTTTGCTAGCATAAAATAATATAAATCTGCGTGAATACACGAAGAGAAAATCCTGCTAAAATTACCGCATTTATTGGTAATGACACTTCCGGTAAAAATAACCCATAGTTCTGGTTATAGAACCAAAATATATGGTATTTATGAACCATTCATTTGGTGATTTTTTCGGTTCAACGTTAACCACTTACAGGAAATTCTGGTTTTCAAAATTACAGTTCTTAAGACCACACAATTAGTAAAAGAATACTAAACTGAAATGTCATACTGAAAAAATGTTTTTTTTTTTTTTTTTTTTGTCTCGCTCTAAGATAAAATTACCAAATTTAGCCACATTTAAATGTTGTCACATATTACAACACTTTATTTTAATGTTAATTCAACCAAAACAATTACCAAAGCGATTCGGTAAAGATATTTGACATTATGGTAACATTTGGTGTTACCATAAAGCCCGAAACACGGTAAATTTAACTGTATTCTGGTAGTTATAACCATACTTTTCTTGTTGGGTGAATTGTAATAGTTCTAATAAATCACTCATCATAAGTACTCAACAACTATACTTGTTATAATAGTTAATTTTAGAAATCGCCCTTTTGTCCCTCTTTCCATCAGTTGGCTATACGGAGGTGTTTTTTTAAACTCGGCTTTGCCACAGCTAATCCAGAAAATTTTTAAGTTATCTTATCTGTGCAGTTTTGAAGTTATTAAACTCTTAAGAATAAGGATTTGATCGCAACTATTATGCAATCGTTTCGTTTAACGCGTCAAGTACCATTAGTTAAATCTTAAAAAAAGTACTTTGGCACTCTATTATACAATCATTTTGTATCATATATTAAAAATAGCATCACCTTGTGACACGATGTTGTTAAAATGTTACAACACGAGGCAAAAATATATAATAGTTCATCTGGACTTAATAGTTAACAATGCCTTTCTTCGTCTTCGGCATTCTTTTTTTTTTCAACTGTCATGCTAGGGAAGATAAAAAAAACTAAAACATATTGTTCTATGCGTTAATCTCATCACAAAACTTTCAGACACAGCTGAAGATCGTCTGAAATGCTGGCAGCCAGAACGTGTTTAAAAAAGACTTTAACATTGTTAGCGATCATTGGTAGGAATCAATTTGAATAGGAACTTAAAGAATGGCAGTGAGAATCTGTTCTGCCATTTTCACGGTGTTTGTGAGAAGTTAATTTTGCTTTTTTTATTAAAACAGCGTGTAGAAAAAGAGCAAACAAAGCAACTCTATTCATGAATAGAAATAATCCCTAACGTTAAATCTTAACTCTTTTTGGGTTTGAGACTAAATATGTTTAATTGGTATCCAAGTAAATCTGATTTAAATCACTTGGTTAGGCGTAACCACTTCACTTTTTCTCGAGTTGCATGTACTCAATTATGAGGGAATCAATAAATAAAAAATATTCACTGATAATGTATAACTGTGATCATCCCTTTAGGTAACAATTGTCAAGACACAGAATTACACTTCGAAAACTGTTTTATCTTTGTTGATTTTTTATATAAATCTGCATTTCAATATGTCATGAATAGTTTCCATCAGTAGTTTAAATAACCTCTCAGACTCATTATCGTATAACTCATTTAATCATGTTAATATGAAATCAAAATCTATTATTCAAATCATAAATGATTAACTACTTATTCAAATGTACTACTGACGAACACCTTAAACCTGCAATATTCAAACACTTTACAGTATGGAACATCTGCTTTCCACGATATTTCTTTTACACCTCCAAGTTGCATTCATAAGGGGAAAAAATTGAAAATCTAATTGAAGTAAATCTAAACAAAATATTGGAATTCGATTGCTATAAGTGATGTAGATTTTTATTATTTCTCCCTAATAAACTTTAGCAAAATCAGTGTTCCGCATAAAGGGAAGATTAGTTCCTGAGATATATTGTTCTCATTTCAAGAAGGAAAAATGAAGTTTTTTTTAAGGTTACCATAAAAGTTTAACAAATAAAAAAATCTCTAAGCAAAAGGAACACAAAAACATCTTTAAATAAATACTGTTATATCTCTCTCATATTAAATTCAATAAATCAATTGATGGTCTGAATGGAAATATACGTGCTACAGAATAATTTACTTATTATTTAAATTTCCCAGTTTGCCAATTAAAATTAAAGTTCGGGGATGAAATATATCTTAATAGAAGATAAATTTTCTTTGAACTATGACTTAAAATATTATCAATAACTGCGTTATAAAACTTTTTTTTTATTTGGAAAGGAGCAGTTATGGCACCAAAACAAGTAAGCTATTCCACACTTTCTATTTCTTTTTTAATGTCACTTTTAAACCTCGGTAGGCCACTTATGACTCTTACACTTTATCTTAGGAGTCTTAAACCTTTCGCAACAGAGGCTCAAATCAATTAATTCTAAAAATCCCACGGGCCTCACATCTGCTGATAACAAGCAATTTTTTCTTTAGTTACTCATTTTTTATGGTACTTTAGAAATAAATTGAATCAATTCATTTAAAAGTTTTGTTTTCTTATTATCTCAGGTAAACAAAAATTTATTGTATTCAAATACTAGGTACATCTACACAATAAAAAATTACGGATCAAATTACGGTAAAATGTGCCGACACTTTTACAAGAAGTTTGACTTTGATTTTTCCTTTTCAAAATCATCATTATGGTGTAAAGTATTTGCAGTGACAAATATCTGAGTAATGTTGATTGTCTTATTGTTGAAGAAATGTCGATTTTGGGTTCTTGGATTGAATTGGTATTTTTAGTTTTCTATAGCTTTGCTCTCAATAAAGCACTTAAACAAAATTATTAGTCATATGCATCGACCACGAATATTGCTTTAATAATTACCATCTGAGTCAATTGTCTTTCAACGACCTTTTTATAATTTCTTATGGAACTACTGATTAAAACTGAATAAAATCATTCACTGAGACACCAAACAATCATCGACTGGACACTATTGACCAGAGAGAGGAGTGTTAAAATTCCTCTGTGTTAAATTTATATACTTGGTAAAATTAAATTTCAAGTATTTCAGGATTCTTTACGATACACTGAAAAAAATTCTGAATCAAATTACGGTAAACATTTCTGACATTCAAGGCAGATAAGAAGCACATATTGAGAAAAAAAAGTATGGTCAAAACTACCAGACTATGGTGCAATTTACCGTGTTTCTGGCTCTATGGGAACAAGAAAAAGCTCGATAATTTTTTACGAAACTCTTTGGCAATGATTTTGGTAAAATTAATAAAGATATTATTTTATAGTATGGTAAATTTGTAAATATGGTAATATTTGGTTCTTTTAACATGATACCTTATAACATTGCATAAAAACCATTTATAAGAACTACATGACAGTACATTTATAAGAATTAAGGACATTACATTTATAAGAATTACATTTATAACCATTACATGAATAGATAATTTACCATGTCATTTCTATACAGTACGGTAATTTCACCAAATTTTTTTTCTCAGTGCAAGTAAAAGGAATTTGACAATAGAAGCGTTCCTAAGGAACAAAAATATTGAATGTTATTCGTATAAAGCATACTTAAATAAATTATTCCAATTAAGAATGTATTCCAATATTATGATGCTTACAACATACCAATCTGCCTTCTTTACATTTCCTATTTCCCAATTTGTATTTTATGGTTATATACTTTAATATTTTCTAATTGAACTGATAGCTAGAATTAAACCTTCTCTAATAAATAATTTTATTTTATTAATTTACCTCATAATTTTTTGTTTATCAACTTTAATACTAGAATAAAGCAAATCAAATATAAAGACAATAAGCAAAAACCTCACCTGTTACAACAATTGTTTTACCATCAAATCTTGCATCGGCATCAAAATATTCAGTCGTTCGTATAAAATTCCTAATTAAAAATATCAAACCACCTATCACAGCCAGTGGGAAAATCACAATAAATGCATACACCGATAAAGTACCTTCCAACATATTGAATCACTATTTTCAAAAAAATGCTGATATAATTATAATAATATTTAATGCACCGGAAAAGAATAAAGAAAAAATGAGGTAATAAAAAAAATGTCGTTTGGTCAGAAAGATGATGATTCGTTCGATTTGGAAGACCAAACAAGAACCAGAGAAAGAGCGAAAAATGTTCGCGAACACCCCCGCAAAAGGTGGAACGCGCAGGCGTAAGTGTTACGGAATAACTTGCATTGGCGTATGGTTTTTCTTTCAGAAATAAACTTATAAACGTAAAAGAAGACATACTAATTTCCATGTTCCGAAAAAATTTTGTTTTCGAATTTCATAATTACGCGAATTGTAATCTTCGATAACATTAATGGCTGTCTTAAAATGAACTTAATACTCACAACTTTTTCGAATTTTTGGTTAAAAACTATTCCTGAACTGTTTTATTTCCTCATTTATGTTCTATTTTTCTTCGAACAATTAATCTGACGCTCTAAGTTTTCGAAAGATCGATTTAATCGTTTGGTTCTTCTAGTTTTAATTGCCATTTTGCCTTCTGAGCTGAGAAGGGTAAATTATATATGGTAAATCGTATAAATAAAAAAGAATACAAAATTACTTGGACAAGTTCTAAGAGAATGTTTGGTTTACGAAATCAAGCAACTGTTACACAACGTAAAACGTTGTATCGCGAATGTAAAAAGTTGCCGCAATAAGAAATTCTTTCTCTGTTTATCCCATCAAGTAAAAGTAATTAATGCCGAATTAACTTATAAGGTAAACGTTTCAAAATTTCAAAACTTGTTTTCTAAACAATACCACTTTTGCTTTAATAACCTAAAAAAAGTGGTAAATACTTGCTACTTTTATTATTATATCCCGGAAGACAGTCAGACTTCATCCTCTCCAGCTCTACAGTCCTTAGTAAACCATAGCTTTCTCCACTGTAGAGTTCCACTGCACACTGTTTTCCTTTCTCTAGTTTTTTATTTTAATAAGATTAAGGTCTTCCTCAACCTGATCTACTCGTCTCAGCTTTTATTTACCTCTTTTTATATTATTACTGAGTTTTCCTTTCATTGCTTTACTTCGCACATTTGTTTCTTTCATTATTTCAACATGTCCCAACCATTGCATTATTTTTGCTTTCAAAAATCTCGCGATGCATTTTTTCTCAATTAACACTCAATTTCCATCAAACTATGTGCTTTAAAACAGAAAAGTAATGCAAACAGAAATAATGCAGAAATTACATTAAATTTGTGACGTGAGCTTGATTCTATTAATCTTTTATTAATTATACGATGTTTTTGTTGTTATGTATGTATTGTTGTTTCCGTTCTTTTCCACTTTTTTCAGAAATATTTCGGCGATTTAAATATTGAATAAACAACAATAATTTATATTAAGACTTAATACAACAAAAAGCAAAAGAGATAATTGTACAGGATCAAATTTAAATACATAAATTTTTATAGCGATTATAATACTTTAAATCATCAATGCAGATTGTAGACCTTTTATAGATTTTCCTTTTTAGAAGAATGCTCGATTCAAAATTTCACCTCTTTCTCTGCAAGTCAACTTCAGTAATCGTCAACTTCAACAGCGGAAAAGTATATATAAAAATTTTTACACTGTTTGCTGTAATTAAAAAGTCAACAAAAGTGACTGACAAAATATTTGATAATGGTTACAATTACATATTTATAAAAACTTACAGATTATACCTAAAGTATTTTTATCACCTAATTAGTAAAGTATCACCTTTTACACTCTACTTTAGTAACATCTATCTTATTAATCGTTAGCTTCCACAGTGGAAAAGTGTATGCGAACATTTTTACACAATTTTTTGTAGTTAAAAAGTTAACAAAAATGGCAGACAAATAATTTGATTATGGTTGTAATAACGTATTCATGAAAATGTACATATTATATAATTTTCATTTCATCAAGTGTTTTTTCCCAAATTATATTACCATAGGGGAGTGTCGGGAACCCCCGCCCACTCTCAATTTCATATGTATAGAATATTTTTTCAAGTCAATGGGCCATGGGACATTAATTGTTATATTAAAAAAAGATTATTTTCAAAGTTTCAAGTATTTATGCAGCTGGTAACATGGTAAACAATAGTTTTGAAAATATGTTGAATACAGTAGTCAAATTTTTTAAGTTAAACTATTCTTTGTTTGGTTTATTCTTTTTGCATTATTTAATTAGATGATAAAACAATAGAAACATACAAAAATATTGATTATTACTCAATATTATACAGAAATATAAGCAATTCTCCTTAAGTGGGCGGGGCTATCCGACTCTTTCCTATCTATTATCGAAAATAAATGCTTAACTAACATAGTAAAAATCAAACAAAAGAAGATCTAAATCGTAGTTAGTTAATTAAACTTTTTTTTTCTTGAACGGTGAAGAAAAGAGGTCTCAGTTTGAAAGTTGCATAGGGACTCGAAAATTGCGTCAGAAGGGCAATCACTCTGATTCGTATTAAGTGTCGTTACAGAAAATACTCGTCTAATACTTCGGTCGTGGGCCAAAACTCTAGAGAAAAAAAATTTGGTGGGCCTAGTAAAAACTTCTAAAATAAAAATTCTGACTTCCGAAATAAAATAAAGTCAATTCATCATTGAACGCATGGCATTCTACATCAACTTTGCGTTTTTCAGTTGACATTTTGGGGTTAAAAAATTTTACAAATGACTCAAAAAAGCAGTAGCCATTTTATACATTTAATAATTTCACCATTATTTACAAAGGCGTTGCATGTGTGCAATCTTTCCATACGCAGTAAATAATGTTAGAACTCGCCCCGGCAGAAAAATTCGCTCGTTGGAACTTAAAAATGTGTAGTCTGCCTCATGTGAAGTACAATTCACCTATATTAGATTCCATATGTGAGCTCCTCGAGAAAGACAAACACTAGTTGGAGCTAATCTATGGCTATTCTATAAGGAACATCTGCTTTCAACATTTTACCAATTGAAGCTGTCTGTGCTAACTATTTCCATCAATTTATGTCTTGTCGAACAAAAATAGAGAAAGTAAAAACGTCATCAGTACTTTGTTAAAAAAGAAAGAACAAAAATAGCTTTAAACAAAGTAGACAAGAAAATGGACGTATAATGTACATTTATATTCGCTACGGATCGGCAAGTTAAAATTCTGTCCACGGGCCGGATAAAACCTTCCGGCGGGCCACAGTTGGCCCGCGGGCCGTAGTTTCCCCATCCCTGGTTTATATGATGAGAATCCGAATATTTTGCTACATATTCTTTAGGCTATTATTGCTTTAGGCTTATTACGCACTAGATTACCTTCAAATTAATGCGTGATAATAAATAAATAAAAACATTCCTTTCATATTTTTTTTTTATAAACTACGAAATTTGCCATTTTGTTATTATCTCTATTAGTAATTGAATAACGCATTTCCATGAAATAATTTTGAATGTAAGTAGACTCAAATTATGAAAATTGAAACCCACACTTGAAATTAACAATGAATTAAATTTAAACAAGGAGCATTTTTCCCTAAATCTCTAATTATGAGATTTAAGAATAAGTGGAAATAATAAATAAATAAAAACATTCATTTCATTTTTTTTATAAACTACGAAATTCGCCATTTTGTTATAAACTCTATTAATAATCAAATGACGCATTTCCATGAAATAATTTTGAATGTAAGTAGACTCAAATTATGAAAATTAAAAAGCAGACTTGAAATTAACAATGAATTAAACTTAAACAAAGAACATTTTTCCCTTAATCTCTAATTATGAGATTTAAGAATAAGTGGAAATAATAAATAAATAAAAACATTAATTTCATTTTTTTTTATAAACTACGAAATTTGCCATTTTGTTATAAACTCGATTAATAATTGAATAACGCATTTCCATGAAATAGTTTTGAATGTAAGTAAACTCAAACTATGAAAATTAAAAAGCACACTTGAAATTAACAATGAATTACATTTAAACAAAGAGCATTTTTCCCTAAATCTCTAATTATGAGATTTAAGAATAAGTGGAAATAATAAATAAATAAAAACATTCACTTCATTTTTTTATAAACTACGAAATTCGCCATTTTGTTATAAACTCTATTAATAATCAAATGACGCATTTCCATGAAATAATTTTGAATGTAAGTAAACTCAAATTATGAAAATTAAAAAGCACACTTGAAATTAAAAATGAATTAAATTTAAACAAGGTGAATTTTTCCCTAGATCTCTAATTATGAGATTTAAGAATAAGTGGAAATTATAAATAAATAAAAACATTCCTTTCATATTTTTTTTTATAAACTACGAAATTCGCCATTTTGTTATAAACTCTATTAATAATCAAATGACGCATTTCCGTGAAATAATTTTGAATGTAAGTAGACTCAAATTATGAAAATTAAAAAGCACACTTGAAATTAACAATGAATTAAATTTAAACAAGGATCATTTTTCCCTTAATCTTTAATTATAAGATTTAAGGATAAGTGGAATTTAGGAATGAAATTTGATGATTAATATAAAATCTTATTCATCTGGCGCACTTTTTCGGCGACGGCTTAACGTTTTTACAGACTTCTTATTTGGACGCGGCATGCTTTCACCAAGAATCATGAGTCTTCTCCCCCGCAAATAAATAAATAAATAAAAAGTTGATGACGTAAAGGTGAGTGAACTAAATACGTTTCCCCAAGTCAAGAGGGATGAAAATATTATGAATTTGATTCCCGGTTTACCGCAAAGGGGTTGTTTCAGAGTTGAGAGGACATCGTAATGTTTTTTTATTTTTTTCCATTTCTTTAGAATATTTCAGATTTAAATGTTCATATACACATAAACAGTCAGTCACAGTCATAAGATGCACCTGATACGCACCGGTTAGAGCAAATGGATTCATAAATGTCCATATTTCTTCGTAACGGTTCTTAAAATTTTGCAAATTTTAAACCAATACTACTTAAAGACATACAGATTACTTCGAAAAGTCCAAACTACATGCAACTAATATTATTGTTGTAAGGAACAAAAATTTTTACGTCGTTTTAAAAAAAGTAATTTCATGTGGCAAAATAAAAAATGTGAGCGAAATCGGCCTGAGAAATTGATTTTTAAAAATACGACTTTTTTTAAAAATTCGATATACATGGCGAAAAACGCAAAAAGTAAATTTATCTTTAAGG